GCTTAGTGTTTTATGGCCACCTCAGAGATGACTGCATTGCTGTTGTGTTTAGTGATGAAAGAACTCATCACACACTAGCAATGTTGAAGGGTGGAAGAATTTATAGATCCCTTAGATAGGAGAAAATTAGGAAAAGCCATGCTGTGTTAAGACATTCACATGTAACGTTGAAGCAAGTTATTCACACGTGCACCTCAACAGAGCCATTTTCTAGCGATTTATGTTTTGCCATGGTCTAAAGCGCACTTCCATGCAACTAGCCCATTACTAATGCTTCCCCTCGCCTAGCAAGCAGCACATTCCCTCCACGCTCCTTCCCTCAGCTGGGGAACTTCATGCCCTTTGCTAGCCCAGGCGCCATTTTCCACTCTTCAGGTAACACCTTTAGTGGCAGCTGGAGACAGTAACGCACAGGGAGCACAACCGCACCCACTTCTTGTCTTTAGGGGAGACTAGCCTACACCCAGCAGCAGTAACCAAGCAGGCAGCTGAGCATCCTCCGCCCACAGCGCGGGCACCTCACACGCGGCGGCCCAAGGCGTGAGCAAGCCGGGCAGGGCCCCGGCCCCCTCAGAAGGCATCGAGGGCCGCGACGGACGCTCCCGCTTCAGGCCAGCGGACCCAACGGGGCACGCAGGAGCCGCCCTTAGCCCTACCATTGGGAGGAAGGGGGGGGGAGAGGCCAACCTATGAGTCCACCGGAATGTACCATCCTGTAGGACGGAGGGAGGAGAAGTCAGGCAAGAGAAATTAATTAATTAAATAAATAAATCCGAAGACACGGTTTACCTTTAGCCTCGCCGGCTTCAAAAAGGAAAACCACCACCCACCATGGCCTCCGCACCGCCTTAAACCTTCCCCACACCCCTCCTCCCCGAAGCCCGCTGCCATGGAGACGGCCGGAAAGGTGGAGCCTAGGTGTAGGCGCTGATTGGCCCCGTTGCGTCCGAGTAGGCAGAATCAAGCGAGGTCAGGATCCGCCTTCTGCACTGTGATTGGAGGAGCGGAGGAGGCAGGGACCAATCATTGCTGGGGGCTGCGGAGCCGTGGCTGGGACAGCGAGCGTTAGGGGTGAGGGGTTGCCACGGCGGCGTCGGTGCCGGGCCGGGCCGAATGGGACGGGAGCCGTCGGCGATTGGCAGCGCTTTGAGTGTTGTTCCGCCGTGATCGCGCGGTCGCACACGCACGGGACATTGGCAGTACTCTGGACCAACTTTGCAGCCCAGATGCGCGGGGTGAACCCACTCCAAAGGGCTGAGGGGGTAGCACTGCCTTTTGCAGAATCTGCTCCTCCCGTTCTGTTCATGTTCTCTAGGGACGTGGAGGCGCATTGAAGCCTATTGTTGCTTTGTCGGACAAGGCGCAACGTTATGGTTTTGGCACGGAAAGCTTGCTGTGAATGCCAGGCAGATTCTCCACGACGCTTCCAAACGCTATGGTGTGATCCTGTCCTCTGTGTATTGAAGAGCAGAATTTGTTCCAAGCCTCTAAACTGAAGAGTTAGAGGCTGACTCGAACCCTTTACAGTCAAACTTTCATCAAAATGCACTGAAAAAAGGCACAATCGATCCACTTTTTCTGTGTGTACTTCACAGAAAACATAAACCAAACATTTCTAAGTAAATAACAGCTGAAAGTTAATTTTTCTTAATTGTCATCATTGTTGTCTGATTTACACCCATTTGCAGCTGCAGGTGATTTCTAAAGGTTGCTCTGAAAGCTTGTTTTCCCTGTTTCCCTTCTACACCTTCTCTGATCCTTGTGTTTAAGATGCTTCATCATGAGCCTTTCTTAACACAACAAGATTTTGCTTGTGATTCTTCAGCTCTTTATTTTCTCTCTCTTGTTTTGCCATTCTCTGATTTTATATTTCTGTAACAAACTCATATTAATCCCCTTGACATGTAATTGAAGTTCTTTGATGTACTTGTCAGCTTACCTCTGCTTATTGCAGCAGTCAGGTTAAATAGTACTTAAAATCCTATTTTGATTTTTTACCACTGTGATTTAAAGACAGGACTTTCCAATAAATGAAGTAGGAGCCAGTCCTCCTTCCTAATGGTGTGAAAACCTAATGGTTACTGTCTTGCTAAATTCAATGGGAAGCCTAAGTGTTTTGCATATCCTACTTTGAGCTGCACCAGTTCTCTGTAATAGCAGTGATCCTTCTTTCGTGTAGTAGTTAATGAATTTCAGACAGAATAGAGACAAATGGAAGTTTGCTTTATGTAAACCATTATATATGCCATTTGCAGGGAGAATGCAAAGAGCATTTTAGTTAAGCTACAGATACTATCAATTGTTCAGTGTTGCTGAAACAGAGACAGGATGGAGACCATCATTCCTTAATTACCGCTTTATTTGACAGTGCATGAAACACTCATAGCTAATGAGCTATAAGCGCTGCATCGTTTTTTTCAGTATTGTTCTTTTTTTTTTCATTAGAAGAGCAACCCAACCAAATCAGTTCTGAAGCTGTCAAGAATATAAGCTTTAAACAACTTATTTTTGTTGAAAGACTGCTAGCAACAGCCAGAACTCCTCAGCAGCAGGCCGCTTTGGATAGGTGGCTCCTTGTATCTGCACGTGAAGTCAGTGAGGGTCATTATGGAAAGACATTTATAGATAGAAGGCACTTACATGGGGAATCATGGAATAGTTTGGAAAGGACCATAAGATCATCTGGTTCCAGCCCCCCTGCCATGGGCAGGGACACCTCACACTAGACCATGTCACCCAAGGCTCTGTCCAGCCTGGCCTTGAACACTGCCAGTGATGGAGCATCCACAGCTTCCCTGGGCAACCTGTTCCAGTGCCTCACCACCCTTACAGTAAAGAACTTCTTCATTATATCTAACTTCAACTTCCCCTGTTTAAGACATTCTCTTGCATATCTGAATGCACTGGGACCTAATGGCAGCATACTCTGTTGTTATATGTGTGTTGTCTGTGTCTCCTCCCTGACAGTTTCCAGTTACACTGCATCTTACAGAAAAAAACTTATCTTTCTAAAGAGCACTTCTCTCCCCCTGGATACTGTGTCTTCATTAGATACTTCTATCTTCATGTTGGATCACTGGTATAAACATCTTAAAAACTAGGTAACTGTGAGTGAGAGCCTGAGGGCTGTATTTACTGCCTAATTGTGCTGCTATGACCAAATGTACACTTCAACACTGGCGTGGTCTCACTGTTGCTTGATCACAGCCTGCAGCAGAAGTGTTATGTGTGAGACTGGGTACTCCATGAATGCCTAAACATGGATTAAGGACTTCCTGTTAGCACTGAGATTGTGGCCCTCGGTTTTTCTTAACCGTGCAATTCAGGAAGAGGGTTTTCTGGGCGAAGTTGGTGGATTGTAACACTAGGTGGCACTTAAATACAGCTAACAAAGCCTTTTCTCTGGTGGAACACAAACCAATCAAACACATTCTGTTCTAACATGCAGTTAATTATATCCTCAAAATGATGTCTTGGATTGATATTACTAAACAAACATGTATAAAATGTAATTACAGACAAGTGAAATAAATAGTGTAGGTTTATAATTGCGAGCTATGTTTTTTGCTTGTAATATGTTACACACCTGTGCGCAGTTTATATAGCTACTATTTTATTTTGTCATTTTTACTAACATTTAGAACGGTGCAATTTAGCTTTATGTGCTTTTATTTACTGCTACCACTTTTTGCCATATGTCAGTTTTGAAAAAATTGACTGGTTTTATGTATCTATCTGGATTTTAAACCAGGAGTATTTCAAAGGGAAAACAGTAAGAAATGAGGTTTTTCTATGAAACCACTTCAACACTTCTTAAAAAAAAATATATTTTTAGTTTTTTTACTAATGCTTTGGTTTCTTCTTCTTACCTTCTGGAGGTACACCTCTATTGCTATAGAAGCTTAATACCCACTTGGAAGTCCAACGTCTATCTGTTCATAAACATTCCTGAAGTGATACCATTGGTAAGATATACGAGGCCAACAGGACAGTCTGAGAGCTGTGGAATGCCACCAGAGCAGCTTGTGGCCATCACCTTGGCTTCTGACAGGCTTTTCTATCAACTGCAGAAGTGGTTGGCAGCATTTCTGTCATCAACTGCACAAGACCTGTGTGAAGCTGCTCTATAACAAGCTAAAAAGGTAAAGGTGTGCAAGGAAATACCCTTGCACTGCAGGAGAAGGGTAATAATATGTGAAAAAATGGACTTCTAGTTCCTCTTCCCCCTCACATTCCAGTATACAGAGATTTGCTCTTAACCTCATGGTCATCAGGTCCCATGCCATTCTGTGTGCAGGATTACAATTAATTGTCTCTGTGTAGTAAGATTAGAGCTAAGATGAAGCTCGTAAATAGTAGGACAACCCAACAACACATTCCTGTATTTGCATTTTGTTATTTGACAGCTAAGATGTGTATTTTGTGTGAGATAGACTTGTACATGTGTGGAAGTCACCCTTTGTTGAAGAAAGTTGCCAATGCATTACTGTATGCTTAAATAAACCACTGTGCACTATCCATGAGTTCTTCTTGGAATTGCCCCCAGACATCAGGAGACCTTTTCAGATGAACCAAAACCCAAACAACAGACTAGGATTGTTTGAGCACCCATCAGCAGTGCAGAAATAGTTGTCCAAACTGGAGACCACTGGGTCAAGTTCAGAACAAGAGTTGGCAGACCTGTGGGAAGAGGAAAAAACTTACAGCTGTGACCGTGAGGGCACAGAGGTGGTGGAACTCCAACTGGTTTGTGTGCCTGTGAAAGTGTGAAGGGCCAGGCCAAAGTGACCAATGCTGAACTAAAAAATAATGGTTGTGGTAGAAGGACATAAGGGAGAGATTGTTTTCTGTATGCTTCAAGTAGAGAGAAAAACCTGAATAGTGGGACAAAGCTTAAGAAAATCAGGATTCAGCTGAAAATTATTTGATTCTTCTTTTGACATAGATCTTTTTAGGTTCTGGAACAGCCTTTCCAGGTAGTAGTAGAGATAGTTGTGAAATATAAACTAGCCTAGACAACTCTTCAGTTTACTGATACACACAGTCTTGTGAAGGGGATGCATGCCCTAACAGATGCTTTCCAGCAGTAGTTTCTACAGCATAGCTACTCCTTTTTGAAGATTTCAAGAAAACAGTTTGGCCCTTGAGTAATAACATTAAGCCTTCTCTTAGAAAAAAAATACTACTACAGGCCTTGACTGACTTTAGCAGAAGTACAGGTAGTAGAATGTTTTACAAGTAATTATAAAAACTATTTACAGTAATTAGCTTGAATCTAATTGCTTCTCAGCATGTTAGGATAGTAAATTACAGCTTTATTTCAAACAACTCCTGTTGTCTGTTTTCCCTAAACTGAACACAGGAAACCCAATGAAAACAAACACTTGGAGAACCACCATCCTCAGTTCCTGTTTGAAGTATGTCGAGCAGAGATGCTTAGCTTTGATCTAACAAGCAGCACTTCACTTGCCTCCGTAGACTGCATCCGTCTTCCGCTGCACAGTGAGAACATACTCCTCCTGAGAGCAAGAGGAGGATGCATGTGAACAAGAGGGACAGGAATACACCTTTGGTTCTTAAGTGAGAGAGTCACATCAGATGATTTATACATGAGAAAGCCTATTTTCCTAGGCTGCCTCCTTAGTCAGTGCAGGGAGATACTTGACAGTGATGGAGGGCTTGAGGCTGAGCATTTGGAGGTGCTCTGAGGGACCAGAGGTATCTTTCTCTGCAGGCTGTGCAGGGAACATTCTGAAGCTGGCTTCCTCAGATTACTGCCTGTAATTACGTACCTGATCACTGTGTGATCATCTGCTTCAAAACCAACCGCAGGTTCTGCCTGTCACTCCCTAGCGGAGGTTCATTTGAGTTCCTCAACACTGATCTCTCCAACCCCTTGGGCAGAATGCCCATCAGCTTTGGCCTGATCTGAGATTCCTGTTTGAAACCATAGCAAGCTTACTGAGGAGCAAGCCAGTGCCTGGTAATGTTCATGTGAATCCAATCCCATGCAGGTACTAGTCATTTAAAAAGTCTTCCAAACGCTTTCCCACACTGCTTTGAACAGACTGGACTGTTTAATTTTGTGTCCACTCTTACTCTGGGATGATGATAGGCACCATCTTCAGTCTTAGTCCATTTACACTGGGTATACAAGTCAGTCTCTAACTTTTATCCACTCTAAGTAATGCTATTGCCATCTGGTCTTACATTAAATTTCTCTTACTCTGTAATGATTATACATCTACAGAAGAAAAAAATTACTTGGAATTTTAATATATGCATTTATGTGACTGTCAAGATGCCTGATATTAATAGCTTGACTTTTACTGTAAGCAGAGGTAGAAGAAATCACACCACCTTCACAGTTCTGGCACAGTTTCCTTATGAACTGAATTCTCAGCCCATCGTTTCTCCCTCTGGCTCTTGCAGTACAAACCCGAGTGTTCTATTTTTTTATTCCAGTTTAGATTTTGAATGCTTTTATTATGAATTTCTTCAATCCCTGAGAGAAATTAGAGAGGCAACAGTGCTTCTGTTATTGCATAACACTATTTATTGACAATAAAAATAACTGAACTTGCAAAAGAAGCCAGTTGCTAATATAGCCTTTTACTAGGTTGTTGTTATAAAGGTTGAGTCTTTCATTTTTTACAAAAAAGACCATTCTTTTTAAAGAAAGGTCACTCAATCTTTTTAGAAAGATTTAATAAATGACTTTTTCCCCCTTACCAAATTTAGTCTTTTGTTGGAATTGTTTCAGCTTCTATTAAAGCTTCACAAAAAAAATGTACCTTCTATTGTATTTCTTCTAATAGGTTTCTCAGCCTTATAACTGTAATAAATTTGTCAGTCTAGCTTCACTGAACACTGGACTTGAAAATCCTACCACAACAGGTTATAAATATAACCATTTCTAAACCCTTTCAAGAAGTTTCACCCTTTCTTTCAACACATTTTATGTACTCAGCAATTCAGTGAAAATAACCTTTCAGAGTCGTTCTTTAAACTCTTTCTTGGTGATAGCACAAGCAAGTCATTTGATCAGTCAGTCAAAACCCCACGTTCTCTTCCTGTCTCTTCCAGGGTGGGTTCATAGTCTGAGCCAACTCGCTTAAAGCAAATGTTTTCTTAACCGTTCATTCACATGAAATGACCAACTTGACCCATTTAGGGCCTGATTTTCAGAGTAGCTGAGTGCTTAGAACTACAATTTAAATGATTTTGAGTGGTGGCCTTAGCACTGCTAAAAAAATAGTCTAACGGCATCTTGTTAGGTAAGCAGAAATGACATTATGGCAAGAAGTGCAAATATCTTCCTTTGCCTAATCTCTTTCCTCTATTTTTCTTCTATGAAATTTGGTTGTTGGTTTGATTTTCTTGTGGTTTTGTTCTGGATTTTTTTAGGAGAGCAGTTACATTTTGTGGGAACACAAACTATTGTTTTGATAAATAATTCTCTTCAGGACATTTCTTAAAGTTTGAATAAATGAATGTAACCGGAATGTAACCAAACCTTTGGAACATTAATAACAGTACTAAAAGCAGAGAAGCAAGCAGCATGATCACATAAATCTGAGAAAAGCAAACAGAATCTAAATATCTCAAGACCTCTGTCATAAAATGAATCAACTTTGCTTCGTAACGCTATGTAAAGAATAAATAGCAATGTATCATATTTGCTTTGTATGGATGAATGGGAAGCAGAGCGAGACAGGGGTTATTTAAGTAATATAAAAGTGTGGTTACTGAACACTTCCAAGGGACATGAATAATCTACAGTAATCCCAAATTACAGCACATACTTCAATTCTTCATACTTCAATTTAAACCCCATTTTCCGGTCTACTCATAATCAGCAAATGGAGGAAAAGATGGACTATCTCACCCCTCTTTGCTTCTGGGGGAATTGCTCAGTTGAGCTCCTTGCAGGCCTGTTACAGGATCTTTGACCAGCTGCGATGGTTATGGTGTGTTTCTGGTCACCTGAGTTAAGGAAAAAGGAAGAAGTATAGGAAAAGCTTTTAGCATGATCATGATAGTGAAGCAAGCTTGTTTTCTGAGAAGAGATTAAAATGTTTGTCTTATTTATCAAAGGAAAAGCAAGAGTATCTGTTTTCTACTAACACGAGTTAACATGAGAGAAAAAAAACGCTTTCTAAGCAAAAAGCTGGGGCTAGCAGAAGGACAAACGGATTTAATCACAGAATGAAGAAACCTCTTGAACACAGAAGCTTGAGGAAAGTGCTGAAACATCAGACAAGTGAACTTGCAGGACAGCCTCTTAGGATGGAGGGGGAGAAAGAGCAAGAAAAGGGATTCATTTTGACACAGACCTTCATCAGTTTGTGGCTGGGAGTCTTGAGACATGGCTTTCTGCGTGACGCCTGGCTTGCAGAGCCTTTCCAATAGCAAGTCTTCCACAGCAGCCGTGTTCTGTGAACAGTGCTGGTGAAATTCCAGAATCACACTACCAGCATCAGTATTGCAATCAGCTGGTAGTTGTCTCTGAGAGAAAACTCCAAGTCACCTACTGCTCTGTGCCACTGGCTATGAACAGTATTGCAGAGGGAAAAGCAGTAATAAACCATGTAATGCAGAACTTGTGCAGTCTGCTTAGTTTTGCCTGCTGAGCCAGCCTGCTTGCAGTTGACACTAATGCTATGGAGGTGTGCAGAGTATTGCTACAGCATTCAGGCCTTGGAAGGAGAATATTCCTAACAAAATACCTCTGTGTTGTAAAGATGTGTCTGTTAGGCTTCCTAATGTAAACTTCTATTTGCTGTGATCTCCCTATGAGCTTTACATTACAAAGTCCTACATGACATTATTTAATGGCTGTTTGTGTGAACCTATTACATAGCCTAAGGCACAGAAAGGCAGGTGAATTTGTATTTTAGCTTTCATGTTGGTTTTCAAATGCTGTCAGTTTAAAATATTAAAATAACAGCAAGTTCTAACAACAGTCTGGGATTTTCTTACCCAGTTGAGTGTCTTAGGCTTTACTGAACAGGGCTGTATTTGTGATCAGAGTTATGGACTCCAGGCTTTAAAATAAGTGGGTAAAAATGTCATTGCTGTCATTGACGTGAAAAGGGTCAGCGCTTGGTTTTCTGTCATTTATGTTTCAGCTTAGCAATAATGTAGTAAAGGAGGTTTTCTTTGGAAAGCTGAAGCAGTAAGTTAAGTTCAGTAAGAAATATGAGAAACTAAATACATTCCAAGGAATGAGAAAATTACTTTCCTTAGGGATTATCTTTTATTTTCTTCATTAAACCATATCACAGAAGGATATCAGTTGATGTTTAGCTCTTCAGTTCCTTAACATGGACAACAGGCAAAATCTGTAGATATAAACAGCAGTTTATACCTGTTTTTAAAGAGCATGTTTTCCTAATTTAATTACAGTTATGCAGTCATGCTTTGTGTGTCTGTAGCTGTGCACACATGCATGCACACACATTTCACGTCTCTTTTATCAGTAACATTAGAAGTTGACCAGTTGCAGCCAAATTCAACACCAAATTACTAGTCCCAAAGACATTGCAGTTATGAAATTTTGTGAGAGCAGATAACTAGTCAGAGAAAAAGAAAGGGTATAAGGATTGCTTACCACTTGCAGGATGTCACAGGGTCCATGTAGGAGGTTTTCCTACCACCTCAAATCCATAGGAAACCAGGCTCCTTGGTTCTGTTATTCATAGAGCTGATTATCTACTTACAATTTTCCTGTATTTAAAGCAAGTGAAATGAAACCAGTTTATATAAGTGATCAAACGATATGCTGCTAAAATATGGACTGCTGTATAAATCACGCCTTTAGTAAGATGCCCTAAATTTCCTCCCTGGAAATGGCTCTTTGTAATTGGCTAATTTCTCAGAATAATTTGTGATACTTTTTTAGACATTGTGCCAACTGGAATAATCAAACAGAACTGATTAAAATTATACTTTCCCAGTTCTATTAGAAAATGTAGTCTATAACTTTTATATACTTTGAAATGTCTTAGACTGTTATAAACACATTGTCTCCACACTAGAAGACTCATAACCAAGTAAAGAAATGGTTAATAGTCTCTGTTCATGTCTGAGAGTCCATGGGTGTTACCTGTGAGAAAGATCATGAAAGCATTGTTGAGATCCATGGCCTAAATCCTTCCTAATGAGCTGTAGATAGCAAGGTACATCACTGCAAGGTGCTGAAAGTACCTCCCACAAATGTCATCCCTGTCAGTAGAAGATCACTTTCAATGTAACCTGGGTTTTATTTATCAAGCACTTTTGGACGCTGGAGGAGTTGTTTCTGGGGGACGTCTGCCTGTACCCCTGTAGATACATCATAGAATTAGGAGTAACATTCATTTATAATTGGAGACCAGCTGAAAAAAACTACAGGAATTCATTATGAAAGAAAATTGAGGGGTTTGTTTTTTTTTGTTTTTGTTTTTGTTTTTGTTCTTAATTAGCGCCAGTTAATTTGGGACACTAAATGTGAAATTATAGTCCGGAACTATGCAGTCACTGAGTCATTTTAGAGATGCATTATGAGACAGAATCGAAGTGAATCAGTGAAGAGAAATCTTAAGGGACTTCAGCTCTACTCTGCTGGTTTTGGCTCTTCAGCTGACTGCTCTTTTCCATGTGCCTTCAGTCCTAGCCAGAGGAGAACAACACATGCACCAAAGATACCCACACCAATACCCACTACCCATAGTGATGAGAAGCTGCAGCTGGTGATCCATTTAGTCATTTCATACCATCTCACGCTAGTGTCTGTCTGTGTGGTAAAAGCAACCTCTTGATCTTCATCCTTTTTATGCTCTGCATAATACCCAAACGAAAGGCTAACAGCCATCAGTACAGTGTAGAGCAGGGTGTACTTGGGACCGCAGCTGGAGCAGCCTCTGGCCAGGCACCCACTATTCCTCTGTGAGAATCTGCAGAGCTGAGTGTATGACCCCAGGCTGTGTGGCCATGTCAGGAGCAGCTCTCACCAGCACTTTAACCAGAAGCTGCTGCAGAATGTGCTTCTCTCAGCTAACAGAGTGTTAATTGCTGGTGTTTAGGATAGAGCAGAAATTGAACATCCATCAAAGGGTGTGCTCTCCACCTTGTTTTGACCCCACACCCCGAGGTGCTTTTGCACAGAAACCTAAGTGCTCCTGATAAGTAACCCAAGATAAGGAGTTATCTTCTAATGAACAATGTCTTTGCAAAGCCCACACAGGTTCTAGGTAAAAAGAAGGGTTTATTTTCCTCTACTGTTTATTAAGAGCTTTTGGTTGGTTGGTCTCATTGCATATGCTTGCAAGACTATGAGGAAATACAAGTGGGAAGGCTAGGAAGTTATGATAACATACACTTGCCTTCTCATCATCTTCTGGTATATTCTGTGTTTAGATTTTGTTTACTAGCTTATAGAAAAGCAATTGGATTAGATTTAGAAAATTACTCATCATTATGTGGGGGTGAGGAGGAAGAGAGAAATTATTCGCTTAATTTGAGTAAGATTTTTAACAGGCAGTTTGATTTCTAGCTACTTTCTAGGCCAAAATACATGTCTGAAAATCATATTCATCTGAGTGGAAACACTAAGTTAGAAATGGCATCATTCTTTTTAAACTGTCATTTTTTTTCTGCAAAGCTCCATTTGTAGTTACGGAAAAATAAGGCACACATTATAGAAGTGCTTTAGAAAGAGCCATTCGTCTACAGTCAGGGTGCAGGATTCAGACCTGTTTGCCACACCAGCACTGATGTTCCAGACAGAGCCTCCCACAATGTAACACAGGCAGAAAAATCTGCGCTACTGAGAGTGTAGGAATATTCATACAGAATATGGGACAATAGAGGATATCCAAGGAGAGTGATAAAGAACAACAGACATTAATTCTTACCAGGTTTTGACAGTCTGGAGACCAGGCACATCCTGAACCAGAGATTGTATCCACATCTTTGTGTTTACTCCTCAGTTTAAACTCCTTTGTGTAAATGCCCGAGGATAAGGTAAAGAGCACCATACATAAACAGAGAGCAAACCTGTCTCTTCATTATGCATCCACACACTGCTACTGATGATGCACATGGGTCCACAGCTAAAGTCCCAGGGTACTACTACAACAGAATAAGTACTATTCCTCATAAATACCTTTGTCAGAGGACTGAACTAGGTATGCATAAAACTTCCCAGGAAAATATGCAGTAATGCTGAAAGCCAAGAGTTTTAGCGATAAGGTGACAGGAAAATCTTGGCTCCACTAAAGTCAAATTGAACTTTGCCAGTGGATTCAGTGAAGCCCAGATTTTTGCCTTGAGAATCTGCCCAGACCAGCTGCTCATCCTGGATGTCCTGTGAGCATCTCTTGTCTGAAGGGGCTCCAAGGAAAGGTGTGCTGTCACACAATCAAAAAGCTGAATTTTAACAAGAATGTGTGCACAGTGAATGGCTCTGCTGCTCTTTTCTTGATGCTGCTCTTTGAGTGAACAACCTACTCCTTCCAGCTTTGCTATTAGTTTTTACCAAGTCAAACACTGTGGTGAGGTGCTCACAGTTGTCAGTGTTTGCGTGTCACCTTGTGAGGGAGAGCTGGCAAAAGCCATTCAAGTACAAAGGATTTTGTAAAACAGATGCTGGCTTGCTATTTGGATAGCAGTGAAAGTAACTTGTGAAAAATTACAGAGTTGGCCATAAACCACTTCTTTTCCCCTGAGCTTTCCATCTTCTGTACGTACAAGTCAAGAAAAGAACCACTCTCGGCCCTTCTTCAGCAATTTCTCCAGCCGTTTTACAGCAAGTGCTTATGCTTGGAGGTTTAGTACTTGATGTTGTAGCCATTTTAGTGAAATACACCTGTTGAGAGCATGGCTGACAGGGATGAGAAACACAGTTTAGTGTGCTGATGAAGCTGGGTCTTGAGGCACTAGAGAGAACTCCAGTGAAAGGTGGACTGAAGGTACCAGCTCAAAGATGGGGATGGGAGCAGAGGTGGCCACTGACCCACAAACCTGTGTAGAGCTCTGCTTACCCTGAAGGCTGTTAGCAAACTCTTGGTCTTGTTCCCAAAAAGGCAGCAAGAGGTAAGCCTCTGCTACAGGCGTCAGTTGCCACATGGGCAAATGCAATACATGGATTATTGATAACCGCATCCTAGGAAGAAGTGGAGCCTTCCAGAATAGCAACAGTGTATGATAAAATCTAACACATAAATGGAGCCAGGGTTAGCTGCACAGAGAAACTTAGTGCTTGAACACTGCCTGTGCTGGAATCTGTCACAATATGTATTACAACCTTATAATGAGGTTAGTTTATAAATTATTAATAGGTAATATGAGCACCTAAAAGATAAGAATAACATGTATTATTCTCATCAACAGAGAATGCTTTTTTGCAGTAATAATCAACCTACTGAACTCTGTAATCACCTGTAACAATTGAGACCTTTTTGTGAAAAT